GTGTTACTGTGGGGGTCAGAGGGCACCCGGGACAGCGCTGGGGAGGCAGTGGTGCTGGCCGATCACACTCCCCTGCCCCGGGGCCACAGTGGCCCCAGTGTCAGCGGGCGGCACCTTGCATTGTAGCAGGACACGTTAGGTTGTTACCAAGACTAAGAAAGCCAGAAGCGGCTGCCGCAGGATCATGGAGGCAGAACAGGGAAAAGCCCGAGGCCCACTCCAGTTGCCAGGGGACCCTGCCGGCTCTGCCTCTCGTCGGGGGTGAGCAGGTGCACCAGGACGGCCCCCAGAGGCCGCGGTGCAGGCGCAGGCACAGGCGCAGGCTGGTGCGCACCTCCCTCCTCCCTCCCGGTTCCAGCCTTGCTGCTCCTGGCCTGGCCGGAGCCCTGAGCTGGCCTGCTGGACCCTGCCCCAGAGCGCAGGTCTTCAACTTCCCAGGAAGCCTCTCCCCCAGCCACCCCACCCAGAAGCCACTGTGCTTCCCATCAGACCCTTGAATCCACCGAAGAGAAGCCTCAAGTTAACGCCTGTCAATTTTCTCCCAATTGCAAACTTCCCCGCAGGGCACCGTGCACTCTGACAGCTCCTGGCGATTTGCACGAGGAATCCCCAGGGGCCGTTAGAGGGGAAGGGGCTGCCGCCCCCAGCCTGAAGCCTGCACAGCCCCTCACCGAGGGAGGACCCGCCCAGGAACCGGGCAGCAGCCAGGAAAGCCAAGTGTCCGCCTGCACCCAAAGCAAGGGCACCCATGGGAGCCCCAGCTGCCCCACGGGAGCCCTGCCCCTGTGACCACGGCGCCCTGGGCAGCAGCTGTCCTCTGGGCCAGAGGACAAGGTGGCAGGAAGGAGACAGCACAGCCCGGCCAGAAGCTCCCCTGAGCAGCCCCCTCCTCAGGGCCACACCTGGCCCAGGCCCCCCTGGGGGGGGGCCACAGGAGAGGACTCATGGGGTGGGGGACCTGGCACAGGCAAGTCTGGGCTGTGGCTCCCCGAGCCCCTGGCTGGGCTCCCGGGGCGGGGTGGAGAGCCGGCCAGGCCTTTGTCTGCGTTCCCAAAGGCAGAGGATGCGGGTGTCTGGTTTTCCCAGCGAGCGAGGCAGGCGGCCCCCACCCAGCCGAGGGTGTGGCGGTCACGGGTGAATCCCTGGGGGAAGCTGCGGGCCAGGGCACACACCCAGTGGGGAGGGCAGGGGGAGCCGGCAGGACTGGCTGCACCTCCACTGCGGGCAGGGCCAGGGGCCCTCAGCGGGGCGGCTGCTGGCCCTACCACGAGCGGGGCAGGCGGCTGACCCCAGGCGCCTCCTGACCCCTGGCCATGCAAACACAGCCCCAGGGCCTCCGACGCCCACCTGTGGGAGTGAGGGGCATGCGAGGAGAGGACCAAATGCCGGGAAAGACCACGCGCACTCCTTTGGCACCTGCTGTGTACAAGACCGGTGCACAGATTCCACACAGACAGACCCGCGCCCACCGCTGGGCAGGAGAGGGAGCAGGGTCCCAGCCGGGACAGCTTTGGCGCCCCAACGCGCAGACCCTGTCCCCGGCGGGGCCCAGACGCACCTCCGCCAATGGAGAAGATCTGGCGCCCCCTCCTCACCCTCCGGAGACCTCTCACCCCCGCCGCAGCTGGGGCTGGCCGCCCCCCCTGGGCCCCAGCACCGGGCTCTGGACACCTCTGGACACCTGGGTGGCCCTGGAGGGGCAGCGCAGGGCGGAGGGAGGCCTGTCCCTGGCGCACGTCCGGGTGTGGCGGGGGAGGGGCGGGAGAGCCCCAGACCAGACCAGCGCAATTTGGGGAGGGGTCCTTCGGACTCCCAGGGACCACCCACAGGCGGCACGGGGCCGCGGCTCCGGCTCCGCAGGTAGCGCGGGCCTCCAGCTCCCCAGCGCCCGGCGACAGCCCCCATCCGCCCCAGCATCGCCGGGGCCGGGGAAGAGCAGTCTCCCGGCGCGCGCGGCGCGGCCCGGCCCGGCCCGATTCCTCCCCAGCGGCCCTGGGAGCCGGCGCCGCTCTCCGCCCCCTCCCGCCGGGGCTCGGACGCCCTCCCTGGGCGCCCGGGCCGCCCGTGGCCCCGGCTTCCCCGGCCCCGGCCGCGCGCGCCTACTCACTCCATGTCCCCGCCGAGGTCCGGGTGGGTCCTGGAGGCCGGGCGGGGGCGGGCGCCGGGCGGGCGCGCGGGCGGGGGGCGGCGGCGGGCGCGGCCCGCGGGCTAGGGCCTGACGGCCGGGGCTGCGCGGCGCGGGGGCGGCGGCACCGACTCGGGCATCGCCCCGCGCGCGGCTGTTTATTGTCCGGGCGGCGGCAGGCGCGGAGGGTGGGCTCGGCGCGCGCGTCGCCGCTGCGGTCCCCTCCCCTCCCCTCCCCTCCCCTCCCCGCCTCCCTGCGCCGCGAGGCTGTGCTGCGCCTCCTGCCGGCCGCCTGCGCTTCGGCGCGGCCTCCACCAGCGCGCACCCGCCCCGCAGCGCCGCCGGCCCCGCAGCGCCTCCATCAGTGCCTACCTCCACCCCGCGGCGCCTCCGGCCCCGCGCCCCGGCCCCGCCCCTCAGCCCCCCCAGCACCGCGCGCCCGCAAGAGGCGACCGGGTCAGAGCAGCGGGCGCCAAGGCACCCCGAGATAGCCCGGGCCTCGGGCGCTGGCCTGCGAACAGGCTGTGACCAAAGTCCCGTCCCTGCCCGGGAGCAGCCTGAGCGGGGCCTCCCCTGCGCGCCAGGCGCGGACGGGGTCTTGCGAAGAGGGTGAGGGGTCACCCCGAGGAGCTGCCCCCACATCCGGAAGAGGTCTGGGAGTAGCCACTTGTGCGGCCAGGTGGAGGGTCCCCGCAGGTGCAGGGCCGGGAGGCGGGGCTGAGCTGGGGGCCGGCCCGGGGATTGGACCTGGGCTGCTCCCGGGGTGCTCCCGCTGGTGCGGGCCTGAGCAAGGGGTGGAGGGCGCGGGTCCCCTCTTCCCATATCTACTGAACACGCTGGGGACTGGGGTGGCAAAGAGATAACATTTAAGATTTACTAATTTGAAAGGCAAAGAGAGAGACCAGTCTTCCATCTGCTGGTTTACTCCTCAAATGCCCACCACAGCCAGGGCTGGGCCAGGCTGAAGGCAGGAGCCGGGAGCTCCATCCGGGTCTCCCACGCGCGTGCAGGGGCCAAGCACTTAGGGAAGTGGAGCAGCCAGGACTTGAACCCGTTCACATAAGGGGTGCCAGCGCCGCAGCTGGTGGCTTTACCTGCTCTGCCACGGCGCCGACCCCTCTTCATAAGAAATTTGCTATTAGAGGGGTCAGTGTGGTGTCCCGGGGGTCTAGTCCCTAACCCTGGACCCCAGGCTGGGTTCAGGTCCAACCCCTGGGTTCAGGTCCCCGTGTCCCTCGGCTAGGCGACGCCCCCTCCTCGGCGAGGGTCGATGGTACGCATTGCCGGCAGTGGTGTCCAGGCAGCCCCTGTCCCTGGACTTGGCAGTAAAAGTGGACTTACAGAGGCGGGGGGGGGGGGGGGGGGCGGAGTCTGCCGTGGGCGGCTCCTGATCTGCCGGCTGGCTGCCTGCAGCCCAGCCAGTGTGGGGTGGAACCCGCAGCAGCAGGCCAGGCCGTGGGTCCCGTTCCCAAGCTCAGCGGCTCAGGGCTGGGGAGTGGTGGTGCCCTTTGTCCAAAAGCAGGAGAAGCGGGGGAGCACGGGGGGCAAAGCTTTGTCCTGGCCCCAGCCCCAAATGTCCCCTCGCTCAGCATCTGGTGGGCACTGAGGTAGGAGCAACACCACAGGTGCAGCTCTAAATGACATCACCTGGCCACAGGGGGCTGTGGGGGCAGGGCAGGTGGACATCCTGTGCCCGGGCAGCCTCCTCACTGTTCACTTGCTCACCCACAGTGCCCTGAAGCACCCCACACTGTCCTGCGCCCTTGCTGGCCCCCTCCCTGGACCCCGGAAGCCGTGGCTTCCATGAGGTCCTCCCACCCAGGCTTCTGCCCACTACCCCAGTCCTGCCCAGCCCACCTGCACACCTGGCCAGCGCCCGGACATCCTCTGGACTCCTTGGACTCTGGCGAGGGGGCGAGGGGGACCCCTCTGAGCCCTGGGCTTCCCTGCTTGTGGGGGGTCTCAGGGACCCCCACCCCACCCGCCACAGCCTCCCTGGTCTCTCGGCCTCCTCTCCTTTTCGCTAGATCCTGCCCTTGCTCGTTCACCCTCCACGGCTCCCTGGTGCCCTTGGCCTGAATCTCAAGGCTGAGCGGAGCCAGGCAGCCTGCTGCCCCTCACCCACCCTGCCCACACCCACACAGTCCGCCTGTGCCCCGGTGCCCGCCCGGAGCCCCAGCCCTGTGCTGTCCCCCTGTGCTGGCTCAAGGCTGCTGCCCGGGACCCCTGACAGGTGGCTCCGTCTGTGTGTAAAGTCCTTCCTTCCCGGTGCTCCTGTGAACCCCACACTGGCAGGGGCTTCCTATCTTCCCTGGACACAGGCTGGTGCTGGGACAGTCAGATGCTCTGTCCCCCCCCCCCCGCCACAGTGCTGGCCCCGAAGGGAGGGTGGTGAGTGTGCCCACTGCACACCAAGGGCAGGAGGGCACACGGGTGAGCATGCCCAGTGCACAGCCAGTGCCCAGGTGAGCGTGCCCAGTGCACAGCCCGGCAGGTGGAAGCCCTCAGACGGTGCCCAGGGCCTCTGTGCTACCAGTGCCCACTGCACCTGCTGCCTTGTCGCCGGTCCCGAGAGCTCCTCGGGACAGAGTGAGGCCGGAGAGCTGTGGGAGCAGCTCCAGGGACCCCAGCTGTAGCCAAGCCCACTCCCCCTCCGCCGGTCCTGGGAGGACTGCGAGGCAGGAGGCACTCAGCTCCTCCTCGGGCCCTCGGTCCAGCAGCTCCGGGTTCCCGGCCATCTGTGTGCAGCTGCAGGCACAGCCCACTGGGCTTCGGGTCAGGCGAGGCCGTTGCTTGTTTCGCAACTGTGCACCAAAGGGCAGGAAGCACCTGGCCCCCGGCCCCTGACTTCGGCCGCGTCCCCCCACCCAGCCACCCAGGGACAGACAGCAAAGTGCACGGCTGCAGCTCCCACGCTGGGGGCATCTGGGTCTCTGTCTCGTGCTGCAAGTCCAGGGGCCGCTGGGGAGGGCGGGGACTGGGCCAGGCCAGGGGGCCCCACGTTCTCTAGGGTCCCTGGGGACGCAGCTGTGGCCGTGCAAACAGGGAGCTGTGAGCGGGCTCTGAGCGCTGGCTGCGGTGCCCGGGTCCTTTGTCCTCGGGAGCTGCCCCTTGGGGTTGGCCGCCCCAGAGCTGGGGAGGAGGGCGGTGGGCTTCCCACAGCTGGGGGAGTGCAGGAGCCGAGCTGCGGCCGCTCAGCTGGAGCCAGGCTCTGCGCCTGTGATCCGAGGGACAGGAAGCGGCTAGCCACGCAGTCAATGAGAGGCCCCGGCTCTGAGTGGCAGCCCTGGAGCCCCGCCCCAGGCTCTCAATTGCACGAGACCCTCACCAGGACCCAGCCAGCGTTTGCCGGAGCCACCCGCTGGGTGCTGGGCCCCCCACCCGCAGGCTGCAGGCTGGTTCCCCCTTTCCCGGCGCTGGGTTCTAGGGAGGCCACGGCCCAGAGGACTCTCCGGCTTGCCACAGCCATGGGGCCAGGGATGGCGCTCTGGGGACCCCCGCTGCTGACGGTGCTGACGCTGCTCGCAAGGCCCCCCAGTGAGGCCCCCGGGACCCCCACCAAGCCCCGCCTTGGAGCCCTGGGGAACCAGCCACGTGGGAGGGCCCAGCTGCTCAGGCCCAGGTTCCTGGGTCCAAGACCCCTCCCAGCACTGGTGGGGCTGCCCCGAGCCCCTCTGTCTCTGCCTTTCTCCCCCTGCGCCACATCCCTGGCCCCCACCCACTGCCACGGTCACCCCCATGGGCCCTTCCCTGCCCCCACAGGCTCCTGGGGGGCCCGGATCGTGGGGGGCCGCGAGGTGACCCCGCACTCCCGGCCCTTCATGGCTGCGGTGAGCTTCGAGGGCCAGCAGCACTGTGGGGGATTCCTGCTACGAGCCGGCTGGGTGGTCTCGGCAGCCCACTGCTTCCACGGCAGGTGAGCAAGCAGCGTCTCCCAGGCACCTGGGAGGGGGCGTCTGAGCCGGGCTGGACGAGCCGGGCCAGGAGAAGTCGGGAATGGGGGGGGGGGGAGTATGAGCCGGAGGTGGCTGAGGCTCTGCGTCGGGATCCGGGCTCACATAGCAGCCCGGGACCTGACCCCCGGGCCAGCTCCCAGTGCCCGGGTCACCGGGTTGGGCTACAGCCGCATCGCTCGTCCGCCCGCAGAGACCCCCGCTCGGGCCTGGTGGTTCTGGGGGCCCACGCCCTGCACACCCCGGAGCCCACCCAGCAGGTGCTTGGCATCGCAGCCGCCTTTGGGCACCCAGAGTACCGGCCCTCCACGCACGCCAACGACATTTGCCTGCTGCGGGTGAGCGCGGCGGGGGGCAACTTCCGCTTTTCAACGTGGGGGGGCGCCCCAGGAGGTGGGGGGGGACACGCTGAGGCGCTTGCCCCGCGTGGAGCACCCTGGGTGGGACAGTGGCTCCCTGGTGAATCAGGCTCTCCCCTGCCCGCGTGCGTGCGCCCGTGGGGGGCCCCACACCCCTCCTGCTCAGGGCATCACGCCCGCACCCGAGCCCGCTTCCTGGGCCTGCTTCCCAAACCCGCCGCCAGCCACAGCACCCGCAGAGCCGCGCACAGCGCTCGGGGGGGGGGGGGGGCCAAGGCAGCCCCGGGTCCCGGAACCTGCTGCTAGGGGTCGCCGGGTCCGCTGTGGGGAGACTGAGGGGGGTGATACCCAAGACCCCCGAGTGAGCCGGGAACCAGGCCCAAGCCATTCTCCCCGCGGCCAGGGCTGAGTGCCCCCCGTATCTCAGAAGCAGGGACGGCCGCGGGCAGAGGCCTCGGCCATGGGGAGACCAGCGGGTGTCTGGGAAAGGCCGGAGGTGGAGCCAAATAGGACGGGGCTGCGGGGGCCGGCGGCAGGGCATGGGGGGCAGCCACGGGAGGGCTGGGAGCAGGGAGGGAGGGGGGTTTGGGAGAGCCCCCAGGCCTGATGGGCAGGGGCGTAGGGCACGTGGGGGGCAGAGGCTCGCCCCACCCCCCTGCTCTCGCTGCAGCTGAACCGCTCTGCCGTCCTGGGCCCGGCCGTGGGGCTGCTGCGTCTGCCGCGCACGGGCGCCAGGCCCCCCGCGGCCGGGGTGCGGTGCCGGGTGGCCGGCTGGGGCTCCATATCCAGTTTCGAGGAGTCGCCGGCAGGGCTGATGGAGGCCGAGGTGCGTGTGCTGGGCCTGGACGCCTGCAACAGCTCCTGGAAGGGTCAGCTCGGCCCCACCATGCTCTGCACCCGCAGCGGCGACCGCCGGAGGCGTGGCTTCTGCACGGTGAGATGCCCTTGGCACCACAGCCGGCCCGAGCCAGCCGGAACCGGCCAGGCCTAGGGGGTGGGGGCTGAGTTCCGCGGGGCGCTGGAGGGTGGAGTAGGGGGAGGGGGCCCAGGGGCTGCCAGGCCAGGCTCAGCTGTGCAGGTCACCCACTGCACGACCTGCCCCAGACTTGTGTGTGGCACAGGCCGAGTCCAGGAGGGGGCAGTGGAGCCCCCCCCCCAGGAGGTTGGCCCACCCACGCCTGGAGCGTGTTCCTCGTCTGCACTACAGGCAGCCCCGGGGTGGGGGGGCCTGGGAGGCTCAGAGCTGAACCCCGGGCCCAGTCCAGACTCCACTTTGGGCGTCTCAGCCCCAGGTCAGTGCCCTCTCCCTTGGCCTGGCTGTGTCCACCTGTGCAGCTGTCTGGCTGCTTCACAGGAAGGGGATGGAGGGGCGGTGGGGAGGAGGGGCGGTGGGGCCCGGCGTGCAGGAGGCCTCCCCACCAGGAGCCGGGGCTGGAAGGGGCCTTGCGAGGTGCGGGAGGCACACAGAAGCAGCCCTGGTCAGTGGTGCAGGCTGTGCACTGCAGAAAGCCCCCTAGACGTCACAATGCTCGTGGAAAAATGGAGAAAAAACACAACGTGTGTCGCCGCGAGCCCAGGCCTTGTTCCTCCACTCCTGGAGCCTTTAGGAGACGCCTCCGCTAGCATAAGTGGGGGTGTGTGTGTGTGCAGTAGCAGGTCCCCAGGGAGGGCAGGGCTGGCCTGGGAGGCCGGGTCCTGAGTGACTGTAGCTTTTGGGAGGGGGCTGGCACTGTGGCACAGCTGGCAGAACCACAGCCTAGAGCGTCCCGCTGTGCACCGGTCCCGGTCCCAGCTGCCCCAATTCGTACTTTGGAGGCAGCAGGTGATGGCCGAGCGCTTGGGACCCTGCACCCACAGGGGAGATCGGGGAGCCCCTGGCTGTCTGGGAAGTGAGCCAGCAGGTGACCTTGGAATGAGAGAGCCCCCTTCTCTAAAGGGCACCGGGAAGCCACGTGGGAGCTCCCTTGGGGCCGAGGTCTGCAGGCCTCTAACTCCTCCTTTCCCTCTGCCCTAGGGGGACTCCGGGGGACCTCTGGTATGCAGGAGCCGGGCCCACGGCCTGGTCTCTTTCTCAGGCCTCTGGTGTGGGGACCCCAAGACCCCAGACGTGTACACACAGGTGTCAGCCTTCGTGGCCTGGATCTGGGAGGTGGTTCAGCAGCCCGGCCCTGCACCCCGGCCCCCTGGGCCCCTAGGAGGAGCCGCCAAAGCCACGCCTCCACAGGTACAACAGTGGGCCTGGTCAGCCGGTGGGTGGGAGGCCAGGGCATCGACAGCCCGGCTGCCCCCACCCCACCCCTCGGTCCAGACTCCATCCTCCTCCCCCGCCCTAATGCTGGTGAACCAACCGCACTGCCATCCCCGTGGGGAAACTGAGGTGGGGACAGCTGGGACACCAGTGGGGGTCTCCCCGGCCCGGGGTGGGGGGCAGGGACTGGCCTTGGCCCTCACCTCTTAAGTCTGCTCAGAGCGGCTTGGGGCACCCAGTGGTAGGTAGCACATTTCTATTAATGTCACTTATTAATCGTATTGTTACCGGCGCACCCCTAACCCATCAAGGCCAAGCCTCCGTTTCTGGACCGCAAGCCACCCAGCGTCTTGGGGACTCCCTGAGCTATGCTGCCGCCCACCCCACCCGCAATGGCGTCTCCTTCCCTCCCCACCTCACCCAGGGTCTCAGCCTCCCCGGAGACCCTGCCCTGGCCGGCCCGCCCGCGAGAGGCAGTAAAGGGCGCTCCGGGAGCCCCCGCCGTGGTTTTCGGGTCTTTATTGCCTCGGCAGGGCAGGGCCCCGAGGGTCGGGGGCGGCTGCCAGGGGCGCGGGCGCTCCAGAGTAAGCACTTCTGGGGTGCGGGGGGTGACGGAGTCTTCCCGCGCCCCAGACTCGGGGCACCGGGTCGCTTCCCTGCGGGGTTCCCCGCCCCCTCCATCCGGCCTGAGCCTGTGGCCCCCCACGCAGGCTGCGGACGCTGAGCGGTGCCCGGGCGCGGCCGAGGGGCTGGGAGCAGCGGCGGGGGGTGCGGGGCCCTGTGCGCTGTGCAGCAAGCCCGGGGGCCACGCACGTCCGGCACGTCCTGCAGTCCGCACCCCCGCCCCGGCCCCGCCCGCTGCACACCCCGCGCTGAGTCCGAGGCTGCGCGGGGCGGCTGCGTGGCCCGGTCCAGGCCGCCCGCGCCCGCCCCCAGGCGGTCCAGAGGAAAGGGGCGGCCGCCGGAGCCTCCATCCCGTCCTGTTCTCGTCCCCACGTCCTGGGCTAGACCCCTCCTCGCCTCGTGTTCCGGGCCCCAGGTCCCCGCGGGTGCGCGGGCGGGCGGGCGGGGCGGCGACGACGGAGAGATTTATCCCCAGAGGGGCGGGACCGGCGTCTCCCGGGCCCGTGCTCCGCGCGCCAGGCCTCGTCTCCGCCTTCCTTCCGCGACGGCGGGACCTCCGGGGTCCCCGTGCCCGGAACACGGACTCCGCGAGGCAGCGAGTCGGGCTCACACCGCGTTCTCCTCCGGCTCCGGCTCCGGCTCCGGCTCCTCCTCGGACTCGGCGCCCGGAGGCTCGCGTGCGGGTCCTGCGGGTCCTGCGGGTCCTGCGGGGCGGGGCGACGGCACGTGAGCGCGGGCCGCGCGGCTGCAGAGCCCCCGGGGCTGGGCCTGGCTCGCGCGCCCGCACCTGTGCAGCTGCCCGGGTGGCGCACGCCGATGGAGCGGCCCAGGAAGCAGGTGGCCTGGCGCAAGTGACACGAGGACACGTAGGTGACGTTGTCGTTGCCACACAGCTCCTGGCCGGGGCTGGAGGGCGCGGGGCAGGGCGCCGCCCGGCAAACCACGCAGTGCGCGCTGCCCGTCTGGTCCACCACGCAGGACTGTGGCCGCGGGCACACCACGTGCGCGCAGGACTCTGCAGGCGGCGCGCGGGCTGGTCAGGGCGGAGCGGTGCACCCCGCCGGGTTCCATCCGCACCCTCCTGACACAACACACAAGCCCCGCCCCCGCAGCCCAGGGCCATCTACCCCCCCCCCGAACGCGCCACCCCGCACGGCCCAGAAGCCCCGCCCCCGCACTCCAGGGCCACCTACCTCCCGAACGCCCCGCCCCGCACGGGCCACAAGCCCCGCCCCTGCACTCCAGGGCCATCCACCTCCCAAACGCCCCACCTAGTCCACAAGCCCCGCCTCTGCACCCCAGGGCAACCCCCTCCCGAACGCCCCGCCCCGCACGGACCACAAGCCCCGCCCCTGCACAGTCCCTGACCTTTCTCTCAACCTCTCGCCCCTCGGGAGCCCCAGATCTCCCAGATCCCAGGCCTCCTCTTCCTCGTTCCCGACCTCTCTTGAGTCCGATCCAGTGACAGAATACAGATGCGCTGGACTGGACTCCGCGCACCGCCCACTGCAGTCCCCGCCCCCAGCCCCGCCCCCACATCCTGCTGCCGCGGACACGCAGGTCCTTGGCTCCGCCCCAGCCCGCCCCGCCCCGCCCCCACGTACTGCGGCAGCGGCCCCGGTACATGACGCGCAGGTCCGGGTGGCCGCGGCAGCGCGTGGCGCGCAGCTCGCACTCGTCGCGGTAGGTGGCGCCGTCCGAGCCGCAGACCTGCAGGCGCGCCGGGAGCCCCGCGCAGTCGGGCGCGCACTCGCAACGCGGGCGGCCCCCCAGCATGCGGCACGCCTTGCCCGGGCCGCATTCCACGCCGTCGCACGAGTCTGCGGAGACAGGAGGCCGGGCGCGGCCAGGTTCGCGGGACGCGGAGCCCCCGCAGCCCACCGCAGCGAGGCCGGGGAGCCCGCGCCCGTACCGCGCCGACCCGGGCTGCCCTGCTCGCGGCCGTTTCACCGACGGGGAAGCCGAGGCCGCGCAGCGGGGGCCCCGTGTGAGGAGCGGGGCTGGGGCAGGACACGCGCCCGGAGGGCACGCGGGCCGCCCCAGCGCGCTTCCCACTGCAGCCGAGCGGAACGGGGCCACCTGCGGCGGGGTCTGCGGGGTCCACCCGGCCGGGGTCCATCGCCCCAGTCAAGCCGCGGCCTCTGCGGGTGCTGCCTGCCGGACCGTGGCCAGCTGGCCGGCCCCAGGCCTCCCCGCCGCAGGGCTGCGCGTCCTCCAGACGGCGCCTGGTCAGCTGCTGAGTGCCCAGCACAGACCCACGAATCCGGGCCCGGGCCCTGGAGAGGGGCAGAAGGGCAGACCCACGGGAAAAGCCACCTCCCAGGGTGCCTCCACCAGGTGCGGCAGGTGCAGAGGGGCCCGCGTCCGCCCCGCCGGCTCCCGTGGGGCCCCGGGCCGGGCGCTCACCTCTGCAGGGGAGGCAGTGGACCAGCCCCAGGAAGCCCAGGAGGCTGATCTTGTTTCCGGGGTGGGTGAGGTTGGACCAGGCGGTGTCGATGCTGCCCGAGGCACAGCAGTCCGCCTGGCTCACGTCGGTCCTCAGCACCAGGCTGCACGTGTCCTCCCCGCCCTGCTGGAGCCAGCACACACCTCCTGCAGGCGGGGCGGCCGTGGCTGCGGGGACGTGCTCGGTGGGTGACTGCGCAGGTGTCCCCCTCCCCACACCCCTTCTCTCGGCCCTCCCCGCCCCGCCATCCCAGGAGGCCTGGGGCTGGCACCCTGCCCAGCACGGCGAGCGCCAGGCGCTGGGCAAGCCAGGGTCAGCGGGCAGGGGCCGCGTCTCCCGCCTCTGCCCTCTGTCTAGACAGCGCCCGGGGGCACGTGGAGCCCCTCCCGGCAGCCCCCCCTCGCCTGGCCCGCCTCTTACTCACTGCAACTTGGGAACATTCCCCTAGCATGAGCTCACTGTCTCCCCGGGGACGCGGCCTTCGGGGAGGGGGCGCGGCCGGCCCTCAGCTTCCTCACCGTGCGCGGGGGCGGGGACAGCTGCAGCCCCCCGACCCCACGCGCCTGTCTGGGACCCGGCGCCCATCCTGTGCGAGGGGAAACTGAGGCCGGGGGTGGGGTGTCGCTGGCTCTGCGTCCGCGGGCGCTCAGGTCAGTGCCCAGCCCCCGGCCCCCGCGTGGCTGCCTGCCCCTCCTCCCCCCATCAGGGCATCAGGACCCGCCTGGGGCCGCCCAGGCTTTCGGCCCAGCTCTGCCACCTCTGGGCTCTGCTAGCGTTTCCCCATCTGGGACACGTGGATGAGAAGCCCGCCCACAACACGGGGCTGTCGTGTGGGCTCAGTCGTGGTCATAGCCCCCGCTGACCCCCCCGACCCTGCTTCAGCCCCAAGCCTTCCAGGGCTCAGCACCCCCCAGCCCGGCAGCCCCACGTGGGTGGCCCGCCCCCGCCCGCCGCCCGCTGCTTCCGGCAGCCCCACTCACCGGGCGCGGGGTCCCCCGAGCCCACGAAGCCCGCAGCCCAGGCCAGGGCACCCCAGGACAGCGGCCACAGTGGCCCCGGCGCCCCGGGACGCATGGCGGAGCCGAGACGGTCGCGGGCGACGGGGAGGGCGGCGGCACCGACTTCCCAGAGCGCAGGGGGCCGGCGCTGCCTATAAAGGACCCGCTGGCCGGGCCGGGGCGGGGCCGGGTGGGGCGGGGCCCGCGAGTGGCGGGCGTGAGGCTGTGTCCGCGGGGGTGGCAGCCCTGGGGGGCCGGGGTCAGGGGGCCCCTGAGGTGTCCCGGTGGCTGTAGGCTCAGGGGTCTGACAGCCACTCTGAGGGGGCAGCCATGGCCGCTGGTGGGGCCCACAGGTGCCCTGGGTCCCGCTGAGTCCCCACAGCTGGTGCGGCCGCTGCCCTGCTGCAGGCTGGAGCCGGCGCACGGCTGGGTGGGGGGCAGGCGGTTGGGGGGCTTGGCTGTTCTGCCGGGCCCCCTCCCCTCCCCCCAGCCCAGCCCCTGCAAGCCAGGAGGTGCTTCTCAGGGCTCAGGGCTGCAGGGCCTGCGGGGTCTAGGGCTGGTGGGGCGCCTTCCCGTTGCAGGCTGAGCTCTGGCTTCCAAGGAGGAGCTGGACAGGTGGGTGTGGGGGTGCTGGGTGCCATGGCAACCAAGGCAGACCCTGGCCACCCTCACTCAGCTCAGGGCTTGCAGGGGCCACTGAGAGCCGAGCGCCAACAAATTAACCTGGAGCAAGGAGGGGCGCAGGGGGCGGGGGCACCTCTGATCCCATGTCCCTGCCTCCCAGGACGGCCGAGGCCGCGCCACACCCCTTCCTGGCCAGCGCAGGACAGCGGCCGTCTTGGCCTGGCCTTGGCCCCCGGCAGTCCTCGGGGAGTCTGTCCAGCCCGGGACGGGGCAGGGTGTCCCCACCGTGGGTGTCCGGGGCTGGATGGTGACCTTGGCCAAGGCCTGACCCTGCCGTGACCATGCTGCCGTGGCCTGGGCTGTGCAGATAAAAGGGTCATTGTCTGGCTGGCGTGGGTTCGGGGCTTCTGCAGGGAACCCGAGGTCCCGGGCCAGTGGCCTGCCGGGCCCGAGGCCATGGGCTGGGCCACCCAGAGGCAGCTGTGTCCCCTGGCCTGGCCCTCCCCGCCCAGCCCCATGTCCTCCCCGGGGCCTCTGCTCCCTTGCCTGGGCCCTGACAGGTGGACATGGAGTGATGACTCCCCTCGGTGCGTGCTGGACAAGCCCCCGCCATCCAGAGCCCGCCAAGGGAGACGGACAGGGTCACAGGGCAGGGGGCTGAGGGCCGGAGCCGGACCCTGGAAACTGGAGGCCCGTCCCTCTGCGTCCAGTGAGAGGGGGCGTGAGGCCGTCTTGGCCACCGCTGCTGGCTCTGAAGATGGAGAAAGGGGACCCGTGCCAAGGAATGTGGGTGGCCCCTGGAAGCCGAAACAGCACAGAGCGAACTGTCCCGGGGAGTGTGGCTTCGCCAGCACAGCCCACAGCTGAGGGCCAGGCCCCGGGACCTCTGCTCTCCTACCTGTAAAACGGGCACAGACCCCGGCCTCCGAGTGCCAGGGCTGACGGGTGGAGGCGCCGGGTGGGCCTCCCTGCTGGTCACCGGTGCGGAGGCAGCCGCTTACCCCACAGCGCTGGGGCTGGGTCGGCCCGGAAAGGATTACCAGGCCCTGTTCTGACGGAACCCTGAGGCCGGCCCCTCTGGTCCTGGGGGGCTGTCGCCTCCTGTGTTCCAGCCCCGGAAGCCTCCGCAGTGGGCACACGCCCAGCCCTGGCCAATCAGCGGGCAGCCTCTGACCCTGAGCAAAGCAACAGAGAGCAGCCCTGGGACCCTTCCCGGGCACCTGGAGCGGCAGGTGGCCGTGGCCGCCGCCCGGCAAGACACAAGGCCAAGAGAGGTGGATGCGGGCCGTGCTCGATCGCCCCCCCTGCCTCTCCCCAGCAAGACAGTTTACAATGCACCTCCACCCCTGCAGCCCCAACGCCAGCTCCCCAGAAGGCCCCTCCCACCTCTCCCTAGCGGGGAGGCCGCGGCTGCAGGCACCGTCAACCTCTGCCCCAGTTTGCAGGTCGTGGCCCCGGCCGGGGTCTCGGGGACCCCCTGGGCCCGGGCAGCAAGGCCTGGTAGAGTGTGTGAGTGTGTGGTGCTCGGAAGCCTGGACCAGGTGATGGTTGGTGTGGCAGGTGTCCCCACCCCAGCCCCAGCCCCACCGTGGCTCCCGGGACCTGAGGACCCCTCCCCATGGTGCCCCCTGCATCCTGGGACCCCGGAGGCCACCTCCCTTCCCCCGCTGAGCCCCGGGGTGAATTCGCATTGACCAAGGTCATTCCTTTTACTCGCCACTGCCTTGGACCCAGCCATGTGACCCTGCCCCGGCCAGTGGCACCTGGGGAAGCTGCAGGTGGCCAGGCTGGGCCACCACGGTCCCAGTGCGTGCAGCCCAGCCCCGCCACCCGACGCCCTGGTCTCCGGGCTAAAGTCGGTTCTCGGCGCCGTGGGCATCAGAAGGCTGGGCCAGCGTTTGCCTGGACGCCCAACTCTCACGGCTTCCTTCCCTTCTCTGCCCGTTGCCCACTTCCAGGTGTTCTGGAGACGGCAGTGGGGGAAGGGAGGGCCCAGGGGGCAGTTCCAGCAGTGCTGCCTGGAGGCCCGGGTCCCCGGGCATCGGCTCCATAGCTGTGGACAGAGGGAGCTCCCCTGGGTGTGCTGGGCGGCCCCCTAGGGACAGGCACAGCAAGATGGCGGCTGGGCAGCTGGGTCAAGGCCGCCCGGGGCCTCGCTCTGCAGCTTCTCGGCTGGTTGGAAACTCTAGGATAAAGTCAGCAGAGCACAAGCTCCTCCCAGTTCCAGCTCCTGCGGAGGCAGACCCTGGGGGCAACAGTGGGGGCCCAGGCACTGGGGCCTCTGCCACCCACGGGGGAGGCCGGGCTGGAACTCCTGGCTCCTGGCTGCAGCCCCAGCCGGGCAGACGGAAGCTCTCTGTCTCTCCGCCTTGCAAATAAATAAAAACACAAAAATCTAAAGGGGCGTGGAGGAATCTGCCCGGGCAGTGCCCGGTCGCTGGCGCCGACACGAGAGGGGGACCGGGGCCTTTATCCACAGCCATGAGCTGCAGAGACAAAGCAACAAGGGGTTCACTGGGAAGCCCACGCCACAGATACAAGAAGACTGAAAAATAAGCAAAAGATACAAACCAAACAGTATCCGGAACAAAGTAGGAAACTCCAACAGAAGACAGATCAAATACCCAGGGCAACAGACCAAGCAGAGAGCAGCCTGCGCCGCGGGGGCGGCCATGGGGGGGCCGGTGCGGGGTGGGGGGGTTCGGGGTTACCCTGCCGGGGCATCAGCGCACCAGCTCTGACCCAGCCCCCAGCTGGGGCGCAGGCTCCACCCAGCGGAGGCAGCAGTGGGAGCCAAGCGCTTGGGCCCCTGCACCCAGTGGGAGACCCGGGACGCTGCTGGCCTTGGCCTGGCCCACCCCTGACCGCTGTGGGCATTTGGGAAGTGACCCAGCCGATGGAAACCACGCCCCCACCTCTTGCCTTCTGCCTTTTAATGCACCTGTGTCGCCCAGAGCCCTCACCCCACCCCGTCCCGAGGTCCCTCACCCAGGGGACCAGCAGGGCGTCCGAGGGGCACTGGGTCGGTCTGTGTGACCCCGCAGGGCACAGGACGCCAGGCAGAGCAGCAGCCCTGGTGCGGGCACCGAGGGGCGAGGAGCCCAGGACATCCGTGTCCCCGCACGTGGACAGATGGCCTGAGGCCCCAAGTCCCAGGCCGGCCTACATGGGGACGGGGCAGGGGTCAGGGTGCGGGCGCCCCCGGCATCCGTGTCGCTCCAGGATCCGGGGGACACCCCCAGAGGTGGGGCGTCCCGCGGGGGGGGGACAAGAGGCCGGGGAAGGGGATGGGGGCGGCGGGGCCGCGGCGCAGACCGCGCAGGGGCGTTCCGGGGACCCAGCCCCGAGGCCGGCGCGCCCTCTGTCGGCCGCCCGCACCCCGAGGCCCGCACACGCAAGCTCCGCACCGCAGAGCCGCACCTTGCGGTCTCTGTAGCCTGACGCCAGCCGGGCCCCGCGCGCGCTCCCACCCAGCCCAGGGTCCCGCGCGCGGGTTTCACGCCCCGCATTAAGCCGCGTGGCGCCGGGCCCGAGGGGCTGAGGTTTCCAGGCCGACGGGCGCGGGCCGGAAGGACCCGGGGGTCCCGCCCAGTAGGGGTCCGCGGCGGGCACGGCGCCCCGGCCGGCCCCTCCAGCGCCTGGGGGAACCGTGGGGGCCCCGCGGACGGAGCGCAGCCGGCACGCGGCGGGCGGCGAGGCGGCGAGGACAAGGGCAGACCGCAGTCCTCCGCGGCGGCGAGGGGAGAGGCGGGGCTCCGTGTGAATTCTCCGCGGCCGCCAGGCCTGGCCACGCCCCTGGCCGCGGTTGCCGGAGCGACCCGCAGGTCCACCCCCGCCCCACGCAGGCCCCGCCCCGGGCCCCGCCTCCGGGCCTGGCCCCGCCCCCTGCCCCGCGCGCCCCCAGCGGCCGCCCCTAGATTGCCCCTCAGCGGCCACCGTCGCTCGCCGCGCGTGCGCCCGGCGCCTCTTCCGCGCCCGGCTCCGCCCCGCGCCGTGCGTGAGCGTGCGTGCCGTGCGTGAACGGGCGCGGGCGCGTCGGCCGGCGAGGGAGCAGCAAACGGCCGGCGGCGGCGCCGCGCGGGGGGCGGGCGCGGAGGAGGCGGCGGTGGCCATGGCCGAGGCGTCGCCGCAGCCCGGACGGTACTTCTGCCACTGCTGCTCGGTCGAGATCGTGCCGCGCCTGCCGGTGAGGCCCGGGGCGGGGGCGGGCGGCGGGCCTGCGGCTGCGGGCCTCGGGCGAGGCGGGGGTGGCCGGCGCGCGCTGGCCCCGGCGGGAAACTGAGGCCGGGCCGGCAGGCGGGGCCGGGTGACCTCCGCGGCCGCGGCGGCCCCGGGGCGGGCGCTTGCCTCCCTCGAACCTGGGCGTGCAGGCGGGGAGACCGAGGCCCCGCGAGCCGCGCGTCGGCGGCCGGGCGGAGGGCGGCTGTGGAGAGCCGGGCCCCGCGGCGCGGCGCGAGGACGCCCCGGAGCGCGTGGCCGTGGCGGCCGGCGGCGCCAGGTGCGGGCCCAGGTGCAGCTTCCGCTCTGCAGCCG